CCTATAACATTTCTGGTCCTATAACACATCCACTGAGAAAATGATTCTTAGAGGAGTCTCGTAACGCTAGCTCACTTTTCTCCACATCAGTGACACCAAGTCAGTCAGTGTTCTCAGTTTCTTAGATCAGAATTCTTCCTCTCTCCACTTCATGCCCTGGACTTGCTCAGGTTTTCACATTCCTATGCTGGTTTGCTGTTGAGGCTGGGGACTCGTTCAGGTGGGCTGTCCTCCTGATTTGCAGGCCCTTAGAGATGCCTTCTTGGCTTTGGCCACCAGATGGCAGCGTATCTTCATAGACCACATAAACTTCCTGTCACCCAGTGGTGGTTTTCTCAGGATACAGAAAAGGAACAAGAAAGGTAGCATTGCAATCGATTCACATTGAGTCAAGTACTCTGAGAGGGTTCTGACCCCGTTCCTGTACTTGGTTCAGGCGATGCCCGCCACCCCATCTGTGTCTGGGGAAGGGACTGTCCATTAATGATTTCTTGTCTTCTCTATGCTAGCAAAGCAAAGGTATGCTACAAAACCCCAAGAATAGCTGTGTTTGCCAACCAGAAAAGCTGGGTCCTGAGAAGTCCTGGGTGGGACCCTCTGGACAATGGCACCTCTGACGGTTCTGCAAGTGTTCATCTCAGTCTGGCACACAAAAGCTGTGGCTTTTCATATAAAGCAATATGAGTCATAAAACAAGGAAGGTGATGGACACCCCCCTTCCCCTAACTGCCAAAGAAGCACAAACTAGAGAATGAACCAGAATGATTTAAACAAACTACATTAGCTCAGTTTTGAAGAGTTACAACCTTTTAATGAGAGTGCAATGTGGACACTCATAAGTTTGTTAAGGGCTGATGTTTTTAGTATTTTCTAGACTGCTCTGACCATAAAAAAAAATCTGACCATAAGCATGCGTGTAGCACGTCTGAGTACTGAGACTTAAGAGAATGTCATGCAGTGAACATAAACCGAAGGGGTAGAGATGTCGAGCCTTTGTGAGCAGGAGGCAGGGGCTAAAGAGCATGGTAAGGAAGTACCTGGGTTCTGCCCTCACGGCCCCACGTTCCAGGGAAACACTACGACCACACCAAGCCTCCTTTCCTTAAATGCTATCAAGGATCATTGGAGTACCTACTTCCGAGAACTAGTTCAAGAATTAAATGAAATTACACCATGCCACCAGCTTGCTCCTGGAACAGTTAATTCTTAGCAAAAGTTAGTTATTTTTTTTTTTTTTAATGTTCAGGGAAACCATAAATATACGCAACATAAAATGGACTGTTTGAAATGCCCGCAGTTCATTTACAATGTTGTGTAACCATCATCATGTTTCTAGAACACATTTCCCTCATGGAAAAAAAGGAAACCCTGTGGTCATTAAGCAAACACTCTCTATTAAGCTCTCAGGGAGACTGTAGCATTGGTAAAATGGCTTAGGGGCCGGGGAGATGGTATTTCCCACGCAAGCAGGAAGCCCTGGTTTGGATCCCCAGAGCCTGATGGTATGTATTCGTAACAGCAGGAGGCTGAAACACCTGGATTCCCAGGCTCACTGCAGGCCAGCCAGAACAGTTTACTGAGACATTTCCAGGCCAGTGAGAGACCCTACCTCAAAAACATGCAAGGTGGATAACATCCTAAGGAGTGACACCCGAGATTCACACACACACACACACACACACACACACACACCACAGCCCCCCCACCACACACGCAAAAACACACACATATACATACATCCCCCTCAACCACACACACACACACACACACTCATGGAGCCGAAGCGATAACTCAATTAGTGAAGTACGTACCTTGTAAGGGGGTTTACCCAGTTGTCTCAGGAATGTCCATCTGGAAACCAGCATTTGATCCCTGAGCCAGTGCAAGAGAGTCTGGGAATGGTGGCCCACACTGTTATCTCAGGGCTGGGGAGGGGAAGACAGGGACAATCCTTAGGGTTTGTTGGCCAGTCAGCCTTGCCTACGTGGTGAGTTCTAGGCGACAGAGACCCTGTCTCAAAAGGAAAGTGGACAGTGCCCGAGCAACACCTGAAGTTGTTCTCTGCCCCCGCCCATCATTATTCTATAATGAGGAGAAGGGGCAGGATTTGAAGTGAAGAAATATTATATAGGTGGTAAATAGAGCATAGAGAGCCAAAAAAGAATACGAAACAATAGTAGCATTTTTCAAGTCTCTACATTAAAGGCATTTGGGTTTTTTGTTTGTTTGTTTTAAACTGGAAATAAAATGTGGACAAATAGCTAAGCCCCAAACACCATGAAGAAGCTGGGGATGCCATAGCAGGTCTTGGGAACGGGACATCATCTTGTATGATGTTTACAACTTACAGGGCTAAAAGTGTTAGCAGTACTCAACCACACAAACGAGAGTTCCATAACTGCCACTGTCATTCTGGAACTTTCCTGGGGGCCCTGTATGGTTTTTAAACCACGTCTTTACCATTCATCACAGGGACTTTCGGTGCTGGCCTTCTCAAGGAGGCCCAGCTTCCTGTCATTGAAAACAAGGTGTGTAACCGCTATGAGTACCTCAATGGCAGAGTCAGGTCCACGGAGCTTTGTGCTGGGAATTTGGCTGGAGGCACCGACAGCTGCCAGGTAAGAAAAGAGACCAATATGGTCTCGGGTAGAGCCATCTCTGTCTCTTGGAATTTCAGTCCAAGAGGATTGGCAACCCAGGGCCATAAAGATAACACGAAGATGGCATCCCATAATATAAAGTTGTAGCTCAATCCTCATGTGGACTCTTCCCTCCTCTCTCTAGGGCGACAGTGGAGGACCCCTCGTTTGCTTTGAGAAGGACAAGTACATTTTACAAGGAGTCACTTCCTGGGGCCTTGGCTGTGCTCGCCCCAATAAGCCCGGTGTCTACGTTCGTGTTTCACGGTTTGTTAACTGGATAGAAGGAGTGATGAAAGATAATTAACTGGGCAGGAGGCGGAGAGAAACATCTACTTACTAAAACATCGTAGAAGCTGAAATGTGGGGAGGGACTTACGTTGCTTGGAAATGATTGACAGTAATCAAACAGAGACACTACACTGAACCACGGCTTCCTGTCGCCACTCAGCCCCCCCCCCCACCGTTTTTTTTTGTATTATTGTGGGTAAAACATTTTCCTGTCTGTGGACTTCTGGATTTTGTGATAATAGACCGACACTGCTATGGCATTTGTTGAAAATAAACTCTATACTTACTTTGCTTTGAGTTGGTTTGGGGCGGGGGATAAGGGAAGTCTCCGATAATTTCATAGTCTTTGTTCACCCTAACAATTTGAAAACAGCTGACTGCAGGGACTTAGTTTGCCTTTGTAACGGCCAGCCGCCTGTAGGACTAAGCAGATGGTAGAATTGCCAGGAAGAGACCTAAAGGTCTCCGTAAGTCACTCGGATATTGACCTTCTCATCTAACGACAGCTTTGTCACACACCTTCAACGTCTCCCTTTCTGATGCTGAGGATGTGGTTTTCAAAGCCGCCACATGGATGAGGAGTCAGGAGAATGAGTTCTATTCTGGGGACTGAAATCTGCTCCTGTCGACTGATCTCTAGCCCAGATCCTGGAATGTAAAGCTGAGTCGTGGCATAGAACAGGCAGGGAGATCTAACACAAGACCAGCTGAGGGTCTGAATGTTATTGTGGGTCACATATGAGTGCATGAACAGTGCCCATAAAGGTACAGCAAACCAAGAGCGGAACGATGTTTTCTCCCAGTCTGGAGACAGTAAGGGGCACACGCTGTAGTGTTTTACTGCGACACACGTTCAGAGGGAAGAGGAAGGGATGGGAATTTTTAAAAACAGTTTAAAAATTGTTTATTGTTACGAAACACGGCTATCAACTCCAAATGCAATCCAAAGGCAATAGTAAAGTGAACATGAGCCATGCACGCTATGGCAGCAAAATCCAGCGAAAGGGGCGGAACGATGCCTGTGCACGCAGAGGGGATGTGACATCGAACTCCCGAAAGGCCGCCGAGAGACGGGACAGTCATCACACGCGTGTTCTATAGTGTCAGAAACACATATGTTCTCCACAGACGTATGGTTTTTTTCCTTCCCACATGGGGGAGGCTTCCCTTTAATGCTAACGTTGCCTGTCCACACCAAGTTTGAAGCAAAAAAAAATATAATTCGGCCTGAGATACACACCAAGTCTGAAAATATATTGCGAACAGTGTTTGCATTTGAGTCTCACACTTGAAGAGTCTTGATTTGACTCCGATCGATCCCTCACTATTCTCTCAAGTCACTTATAAAGCGGCTGCCAACTCTTTTAAGTGTGGACACAATTGACTCTCCCTTTAAATGAAAAGACATCTCCCCCCCACCCCAAGACAAGTCTAAGGTTCCGAGATGGAATGAAAACTGACTGTGTATGCATTTGACTCCCAGCCACAGGCACAGTTGGAACTGAATTCACAAGTGGGACATCATTATTCCTTTACCTCTAAATTCTAAGGAAATCATCAACCATGTTTTTTTTTTTTCCTTCTGAAGTAAAGAGTCTGTGATTACAAGGGTCCGCTGAAGGAGGGAACCAAAATATCCGGGGTCTCAGGACCACAATGTGACTTTCCAATAATACAGCCAGGTTCTCACAATGTGTCGTAGATGGGTGATTGGTTATTACTTAGGGAACTATGCCAAGCCTGGGGGCCAGAAGCTCAAAGGCTGCAGAGGGGAGGTGGAGTGGGTGGGGTGGGGAACCACACAGGGCGCGCGAACACCACGCCTGACATGTCGGCTCTGTGAAGGCGTGTGTTTGGAGCTCAAAGGGAGCAGGGCTAGCAGCCCTCTGACTCCTCAGGACACAGCTCTCTGCTGTCTGGATCAGATGGGCTGAGCACACTTCTGTGCACGTTCCGGACCTCGGTTTGTTCATCCCGCCTCCCGGATGGGGCTGTCCAGAGAACCACCTGAGGCTCTCTTACCTCTCCCTAAACCCAATGGGTCAGAGACATTGCTCCCAACGGAAGAAAGCCTACGCAGAATCTGTGTACTTACAGGCGCTTTGCTAAACAGGCCAAAGATGATGTGTTCCCAGAAGCTTGGGTAGCATGATAAACCTTACTCATCCTATACCATACGAAATACTCTGGCTTTAAGGTTCCTTGGAAGGGCGCCACCCGGAGGAGCTGAAGCACACCGCACAGGCGTATTCCCACCAGGCTCAGCTTCTCGTGGTGTGGGCATCACCAACACGGCGTAGGTCCTCCAGGTGATGTAGGGGCCTCAGGCATTAGAACTGGAGACCTGGGCTTTCTTTTTCCTGCCACACTGATGCGTCTGTGAGCTGACAAGACAAAGGCAGGGGAAGGGGAAGTCCTTGTGAAAGATCGTGCAATGAATTAGATTACAGCGGCTCTCAACCCGTGGGTGGCGGCCCCTTGACGGGTCAAATGACCTTCCCACAGGGGTTGCCGAAGACCTTATGCACATCAGGTCGCTTACATTACCATTCATAACGGTAGCAAAATTATACTTATGAAGTAGCAACGAAAGCAATTTTAGGGTTGGGTGTCGCCACAGCATGAGGAACTGTGTTAAGGGGTCGCAGCGTTAGGAAGGTGGAGAACCATTAGAAGACAGGCTTCTGGGTACTCCTCACCAGCATGGCTTGTTTTATCAAGCACACCCGAGCAGTCTCCTAACCTTCCTACTGCAAAAGAAGCAGCTCTAGGTTTACCTTCCACATACGGTCCACACGAGTGTCTTAACATTTCTACTAAATGGCGTGGTTTGGAACCAAGCTGTGATGGGACAGAAGACCCATCCTGTCTGATTTCAGAAGGGAGCGTGCTAACAGGATTTAATGAGCTGGTGCTAGGTAGCTTTGTAGTAAATAATTATGGCCCATCTTGATTTGTAGACCTGTACATTCTACTTTGTTTTTCTTTTTAAAAAGAATTTAGATTTGTTTTCTACGTATATGGGTGTTTTGTCTCCGTGTCTGGAAATGTATGTGTATCCCCAAGGAAATCAGAAGGGGATGCTGGGTCCAAAGGAAATGAGTTACAGTTGGTAGTAAACCACCATATGGAAATTAATCAACATATAGCAAAAAAAAAAAAAAAAATGTAGATATTCCCTCCAAAACTTGATCTCTCTCTTATGTTGTCTGTCTGTCCATCCATTTGCCTGTCTGTGTCTGTTTATCCCTCCATCTACTTATTTGTCATCCATGTATCTGTCTTTATCTTTATTTCTAACTTACGTATCTATTGAGTAATCAGTATCACATTTTTATCTAATTTGTATGTCTCATCATTTATCTTTATTCCCATCAATAATCCAGCTCTTCTTCTATTTTTTAATCTGAAAATGTGTTCCCATGTAGTATTGTTGGTTTCCTTGGAAACGAAGCTCCACCCATTGCTTGCAATTCCCTTTGTGATGGACCTAGAGGAACATCTGTGTCATTCCATAAGACAGACGCTCCCTCTTATCTCAGAGGCTGGCCCATAGTCTGACGCATCTCCGTCTTTCTTTCCATCAGTTCCTCTCTGGGCTTCGTCTCCGGCTCAGCATCAGCTCCTGGTTTAAATCACCTCTGAGTTTTAACACCTTACTAGGAAATGCTTCTCAGTCACGTTTTAAAAATAGCCCATATTCTTTTTATAGCTCTACGTTCTTCTGCATTAAACCTTTTAATCTTTTGGATGCTTTGAGGTTAAATTAAAAGAAGACTGTAACGCCGCTTCACTTTCGGATAATCAATGCCCCATGGCTTAACGTGGCTTTCATTTAGGGAGTGTTGATTCTCGAGTAGTACCTGCCAAGCTTTTCTACGTCGTCCACTGTCTCCGGCAAGGCGATGCCCTTGGTCTCAGGCAAAAGCATCACGAGGCCACCACAGACAGACGCCAGGACACCTGCCAGAGCGGGAGAGACATGACCGTCTAGGAACACACAGACTGACCCCTTCCCGCCTCTACGTTCACTCTCTGACCTCACCTGCCTCCGGCAGCAGCCACATTCCCCTGCTTACCACAACCACCTTGCTGAGTTCTGCATGGCTCACAGTCCCTGTGCTCTCAGTGAACACCAACAGTCAGGTGTCATGTGACAGTGGGGACATACACGGGGAACTGCAGTGGTTTCATTGTGTAACTGACATTGATGGACGGGATGCAGGCAAACTACGGGAGCCATGACATCGCTAGCCAATGCAACCCCACCAGTGCCACCGTGTAGGCTGTGATTATGCTTGCAGCACATCTGGCTAGTTGCAGGCACCCCAGGCCTCTGCTGTTCGCCTGGACAGGAGGCCCCTGAACCCATGATCTTGAGGATTCCTCACTGCAGTGTTCAATCCACTTCCCAGGCACCTTCAGTCCGGTGTCGGAAGCACGCAAACGCTCTAACTGTCTTCTTGCGTGCGCTTCTAACCCCACACCAACCCCTGGGTACCACCTCTCTTTGCTGTTCTTTAGAGCAGAACTTCTGGAAAAAGTATTCTCTCCTGTTTCTTTTCCAATGTTGCAGACGGCCGTGTGCTGCTGAATTTCAACAACTGGCTCCCGACAGCAGAGAGCTGGCCCTTTGCTGTGCCCGTTCCCATAGTGCAGTGCTCTTGTGTGCTCATCTCAAGCTGCCGACCTGACCCCGTTGCACAATGCGCTAGGGTAAGACAGGCAGTGGCCTTCCCGTCTACAGTAACCCCACACAGGATGCACAAGGGACGTGGATGATCAGGGTCCATGCAGAAGTAATTTTGTGTCCTCTATTTTTTTTTTTTTTTTTTTTTTTTTTTTTTGGTACCAAAACATTTTTAAGACATTGAATATTTTAGGAAATAAAATTAGCTTCTAGGCCCATCTTTAAACGTAAGACAATGAAGCTAAAATTTGGTCCCTGGAAACTGATGTTTTCGTTTTTCCAGTATCATGGAAGAATTTCACAGTGTTTGAACCTAACAAAGGACGCCGGCACACGCGCTGTCTATCACAGCCTGTTAATGTAAAGTGACTTCAAGCCATTTAGCATTCTGAACGCAATGGTAATCAGATCGGCTCTTTAAGACTCAAGCAGTCATAAAAAGATGGGATGGATGTCACCAGCATCAAAGCCAGTGACCATTACAGTGACCATTACAGGTTCTGTAAGGCATGGATAAAGGGAGAGAGAGGGCTTGAGACTGTCATGTAAATGAGTCGGTCAAGCGTGAGGACCCAAGTTCCAGCTTCGAAGGAGAGTAAGAAGCTGATAGTGGAGCATGATGGTAGCATGAACTTATAATTCCAGCGTGGCCAATGGATCCCTGAGACTCACTGGCTGTCCAGCTCGGTTCAACTAGTGACTTCCGTGAGAGACCTTATAGTTCCTGAGACACAACCCCAGAAGCTGGCCTCTGGCCTCTGCAAGCATGTACACACATGTGCCTTTGCACCCACGCACACATGTGCACCGCCCCTCCACATGCGCGGACCCCACCCCCACCCAAATGAAGTCTTACCAAAGATGATCAGAGGTAGCTCTAGCCACACAGCTGCTAGTCGAAAGAGTAGAAACGGAGCTATGATCCCCCCAAAGTCACACAAGCCTGAGCAGAGGGAAACCCCAAAGTTCCTGCAGATTAAAACACGCTTTCAGATGAAAAGTTTTTTTAAAAAACAAATTCAAAATCATGAAAATATTCAGGCATACTGAATTATAGAAGTTGTGTCGATACTTTCTATATTTTCAGCTCTGAGAGCTACTACCGCCTCATGCTCTAAACAAGCCGCTCCCAATCTGTTGTGTCGGGCAGGGAGGCTAATGCGGGGGTGTCTCCAGTATTGGGAGAAGATGTTCCCCATCAGTACCTCCATAGCCTGCCAGTCAAAGCTTACTTCGGTAGCCTGCAAGGGATAGTGCATCAGGCAAGGAAACCACCTTGTCTGAGCCATGAATACTCCTTCCATAACCAGCTGCCCCAAAGCAAGATGTGCGATCATGTCAAAAAAGGCTTCCCCCCTCAATACAGGGGGCCGCTGGCAAATAGAGACCCAACTTACAGTCCAAGCAGGCATTCTAGGAGGCCCTTCCACACATCACAGCTACTGTCACAGGGCACACTTCTGTCATCAAACGTGACAGGTAACGAACGGAAGCTACAACTCAAAGCCCATTGTCTTAAGGGACTGAACTGAGCCCTGGTTAATATATCACCAACCCTGGAAACATTTGGCTATAGTTACTTAGAAGAAACGGCAACACGTATGCCAGAATTACCGTAATGTTGTCGGATACAACTCCGAATTTACCAAATAAACAATTTCAAAGGCCATGGTTATCCCTAGTCTTCCCAGGGTAGCAACCGCCGTCCTCAGCCATGGTATCCCTGTGAACAGAGAGTTTAGAAGGGGAGAGTTAGGGGTCTGATGATCTCATTAACATTTTACAAAACAATGAAGAGAGTATCCATTGGTTCCCCCACCCCAACCTAAATCCTCGATAATTTGAACACAAATGGCAAAAACCTTGCATACTTTAGACAAGTTTCATTAATACCAACTCAATAGCCAACATTTAGTGTATGGAAGATGCTTTTCTGAGTGGAGAGAGACTGTAGAAATACAAGTGCACTGGCCTTGATCTGGAAGGAAGTCTCTGTCCCCTGGGAACCATGTCTCTAGTCTGGGACCCATCTTCACTCTGTAGAGAGTGAAGCTGTTATTCAGCTAAGATGGTTTCCAGTGAGGAGGAAGGCTCTGAGAACCGGGGTGCTGGGAAAGGAACTTCACTTCCCTGTTATCCCCAGGGCGTGTGCCATTCATTATCTTCATCCCTAGCCATGCCTCTTCTTCCAGGAACTCATCCGGAGAGAGCTAGACTCGTTCACACAAACTGGCACGCTTTGAGGTCAGCTGCTCTCACTGAATGAAGAGAAACCTCTATCTTCTACATAACAATGGGACACATCGAACATTCTCCAGAAAACATTTCCTATCTTTTGTTTTAAGGGATGATGGAATTCATCAATTGAATTCTAAGAAGC